AAAAAAAGGCTGCCCTCAGCCGAACACAGCAAAGGCACAGTCAATACTTAACAAGCCTCCATACATGAATAAGCTGTGAAAAGTAAACAGGGAATATACAGCACAATATTGAAAAGCCGGCAGACATGACAGTTTCCAACAAGGCGAATGTCCACATGGACAAATACTATAAAACAAAAATAGACTTAGGGCATTCAGGGCGTTTACAAAATGAAATTCCCGTTTTGTACTTTTTTTTTATTTTATTTTTTTATTTTTTTTTAGAATCTTAGAACAGTTAGCACAATATGTGAGAAACATTCAAACGTGACCCGTACAAAACTTAAACAACAGTCACAACACCAATGAACACAAATAAACAGAAAATCCAAATAAGGTCACTTCAGGTCAAACCTGGAAGTATGACAAGGGTTGGTCCACTTATTGACCGACCAGTCAGTGGTGACCCTCGGAAAACGTCTTGGTCTAAAGTTATAAGAAACACCAACAGCACACCCATTGTTAGCAGGGGGCAAACTGTTAACATCTGTCTCCAAAGCAGTGTCAGTGTCTTGAACAGAGTTTTGGTCCAAAAAGGGTGAAATAGGGTCAATGTGGTCAAAGTCAGTTTCAGCTAGGAAATCACCAGAGACAATAGCAGTGTCGACAACATCACAGTCAGGCCCTCTGTCCAAAAGAGCAGGGGGTAAGCTGCTGTCTGGCAAACTGAAATCCAAATTTGCAGAAGCCTTTTGCTTTGAGTGTTTGTCAGATGGAGCTGTAGCCCAGGTGTAGAATGGTTGAAGGTTTGCAACATGAAATACTCCAGCTTTCTCTCCAGTGTCTGCTTTAGTTAGACAATAGTTCACATCAGACATCTTTTTGTAGACACGGTAGGGACCAGTGTAGAGAGGTGCTAGCTTTGCAGAAAAGTTAGATGATGCATCTGACTTTGGGTGCGATTTTGCTCTGACCAAATCACCAACTTTAAAAGAGACTGGGCGTCGTCTCAGATCATAGTAATGCTTTCGCCTTGTATGACTTTCTGCGAGAACCGTACGAGCATGGTCATGAGCATCTTGAATCGAAGCTCTCAGGTGATCCGAGTAAGAAGTCTCAGGTTCGTCCATTCCATCCCACGACGGCTGAGTGATGAGGTCCAAGGGAGTGTTCAACTCCCGTCCATAGAGCATCATTGATGGGCTCAACCCCGTACTCTCATGAGGTGCAGTACGCAGTGCAAAACAGATCTGGGGAAGATATTTGTCCCATGAAGTGTGCTTATCCTCAATATAAGCTCGAATGGCTGTTTTCAGTGTGCGATTCACACGTTCAGTTGCATTAGTTTGGGGATGGTAAGCAGTAGTCAATCTGTGCTCAGTTCCAAGTTTGGACACAGCATGCTCAAACAGTTCACTGATGAAAGGTGTTCCCCTGTCTGAAATAAGATAGGATGGAGAACCATGCCGGGCAAATATGTCGGTGATGAACTTATTAGCAGCAACTTGAGCCGTTGCTTCCCTCACAGCACTCACTTCAATCCATTTGGAGAAATAGTCCACAAAAACAAGGATATATGCATTTCCCCTTTGAGTGCGGGGTAGTGGGCCAATGTAGTCCACACCCGCGTACTCCCATGGTCTCTGTGGTTGGATTGGGACCATAAGCCCTGCTGGTTTTCTCTGAGTTGGCTTAGTGGTTTGGCATGAACAACATGACATCACATATTTTTTTACATCAGAGGTCATGTTTGGCCAGAAGAATCTGAGACGCAAGCGTGCCAGAGTTTTTGCAATGCCCAGATGTCCAGCTGTAGGATGATCATGGTAATACTTGAGCAGATAACTACGGAGTGCAGTAGGAGCAAAAAGTTTCATCTGTTTGAGTGGGTGAAGACCACACTTTGTTTTTGGATCAATGAAATATAAGAGTCCAT